GGTGAGTTTTGTTTCCCAGGGATAAGGCCAGCGTTCGTGTCTTCAGTCACTTTCAGTCACTCTCAGTGACTCAGGACCACAGGTGGTGTGGTCCCGAGTCACTTACTGCCTCCTTAATTTGCAAATGCCACAGAATTTCTCCCAGAGAAACGCTGCAGGGAGCTACAGCTTCGGCTGGCCTAGGATGGCCAGATCTATTCTCTAAACTTGGCCCAAGACAACTGAAGTCACAGTGTGGTTAAGAGCCCCTTCTGAGGTCCTCAGACCCCAGTACAGGATCAGAACATGCTCAGCAACACCTGAAACTCTTATAAATAAATAAAAAAGGGGCAATGCCACTTCCCCCACAGCAGGCCCCACTAACCCCACCCCAATTCTCAGTGTCCCTGCGGGGAGGAGAAGCAAACGACAGAGAGGACAGCTGGAGGCAGAGACAGACCCTTTACTGGAGTCATGCTGGGAGAGCCCAGCAGGCAGAGCCCCTTTGGATGGGGCGGGGGGTTACGTGGGTCTGGGGGCTGGGGGCGCTTCAGCTGCGCTCCTCCAAGCTCATGCGGTCGAACAGGTACTCCCCAAGGCCGGCCGAGGCCTCGCCGGGCCCCGAGGCGCCGCCGGCGAGGCGACGCAGGTTGGTGGCGTGGTCACCCAGCGCCTTGATGGCCTTCACTTGCTCGTCCAGGTAGTGGGACTCCAAAAAGTCACAAAGCTGTGGAACAGAGGGGTATCAGGCCAGGGCCAAGGCTCTGGGGGACGTGAGGGGGACCCCCAGGAGATCCCGTGGGAGAGGAAGCCCCAGGGTGGTCCCAAGTGGGAAAAGGGAGGAATTGGCAGCACTTGGAGCTGGGGAGGGGGGTGTCAGACCCTTGAGGAGATGGGGAGGGGGGGTGTCAGACCCTGGAGGATCTGGGGAGGGGGAGATCAGACCCTGGAGGGGCTGGGGGGTGGGAGATCAGACCCTGGAGGATTTGGGGGCTCAGAGCCAAGGCAGCACTCACATGGGGGTCCGCCTTCTCGGCAGCCAGGGCGTGCAGCTCCAGCAGCGCTTGGTTCACCGACTTCTCCAGCGCCAGCGCCGCCTCCACCGCCTCCAGCGCCGAGCCCCAGGTGTCCCGCTCCGGCTTCTGCGGGGCACCGAGCGTCACTCGAGGGGCCCAGGCAGCCCCCGGCCCCGGCTGCAGCCCCCCTACCCCCCGCTCACCTTGATGTCCTGCAGCAGAACGCGGCCCCCGCGGTTGGTCTGGAAGCGCAGCAGCCCCTCGGCGTGCTCCCGCTCCTCCCGCGACTGCTCCAGGAAGAACCGCGACAGTCGCGACAGGGCCACGTCGTCCCTGTCGAAGTAAAAGCCCTGCGGGACGGAGGGGAGGGAGGGGAGGTCAGGGGGAGGACCCCCCAAAATTCCTGGCATTCCGGCCCTGCCGGGCGGGGCGGCACGGAAGGGGGTTTGGGGGCGCAGCAAGGGGGTCCCCCAAGCCCGGGGGTCCCGAGCCCCCCTACCATGGAGAGGTAGACGTAGGAGGCGTAGAGCTCCATGTTGACCATGCGGTTGACGGCGGCCTCGCAGTCGCGGTGGTAGTTCTGGCGGATCTGGGAGTCCATGGCGGCTCGGACAGACGGACGGACGGACAGAGCGGTTCGGGAGAGGCGGGACAGACAGACGGAGCGGCTCGGGAAGGACGGAGCGGTTCGGGAGCGGCGGGACAGACGGACGGAGCGGTTCGGGGAGCGGTTCGGGGAGCGGTTCGCACGGCCGGGGCGCCGCGAGCAGCCGGTTCCGTTCAAGCACTGTTGAAGCGAGAACGCGGCCGCGGCCGCTCAACGTCCGCCGGGGGCTTTTATCGCCAGCCCCCCCGCGGGGCGGAGAGCGGGGGGCGAGCCCCCCTCGCCCCTCCGGGAGGCGCGGTGGCCTTGGCCCTTGTCCCCGTTTGTCACACGGCCCCGCGGTCAGCATGACTGGGCAGGATTTGGGGGGGGGTCCACCCCACCGCTGTGTCCCCCCCGCAGTGAGTGGTGGTTTGGGGGGTGGGCTGGGGGCGAGGCGCTGGCTTGGGGGGCACGGGGTGTTTTTGGGGTGCCCGCTGCTCGGAGCTGGGGGGGCTGCGGGGTGCTGGAGGAGCTGACTCAGCCCGAAAGAGGAACGGGCGGCGCTGACTCCGCGTTTCCGCAGCCCCGGAACTGGGAGAGACTGGTTGGAACTGGGAGCGCCCCCCCCATCCCTCGAGGGGTCCTCGCAGGTCCAGGGGGGGCTCGGCTCGGTCCTCGGGGTCAAGGGGGGGGGAGCAGCGGCCCCCCCACACCCGTGGACCCCCGCAAAACCGCCCCCAAATTCACTCTCACGCCCCTCAAATTCATCCCCACACCCCCAAATTCAGCCCCACGCCCCCCAAATTCACCCCT